TTTTTTTTACGTTTCCCCCTATTCTAGCTTTGTGACATATCTTTGTGACACCACAGAATTATCTGAATATTTTGGTGTGGTCTACGCCTGTGAGAGAGGGCCAGAGAGGCTATGTGTGTGTTCATGTTTCTCGTCATTTTAATTCTTTAACTTAATCTTAGCTGCTTCTAATGTTTTCCTTTTTCTTTCAGCTCCTGACTACCCCTGAAKCATGCAGGACGTATTTGCATTGTAATTAATTCAATTTTGCTTTGATTTAGATYATTCCAGTTTTTTGTTGGATTTGTTTGTAATAAAATGATKTTTTATTAATTTTTGCCATTCATACTGSCCAGCCACATTTCATGCAATGATAGTCTATTTTTTGCCATGRTTTTTGACCTAGGTCCTTGAAAAGTCTTTTGATTGCAAATTTTTCTTGAAAAGTCCTTGAATGTGGAGGAAAGGTCCTTGAAAATGATGCTTTTAGTCCTTGAATTAGTCTTGATTGTCATAAAGTAATGTTTTAGGGATTAATTTAGCCAAGCTTTGAAGCACAATGACTAGAATTCAATCCTTTATGCCACAGAGATTGAGTAAAATCTTCTCCAAAAGAGAAAGTACTTCAGCAAAGTTGACTGCAATGTTCTTATTGTTGCTGTTTGTCAAGACACAGGTTTAGAAAGTTCACTAACTGTATCTTTATCTTTGTAATTCATGGTGTCTGTGAAAAATTAAAATTAATCCTTGAAAAGTCTTTGAATTTTGTATAAAAAAATCTGTGCGAACCCTGTACACTGATCAAGGCAGTTGTAATATAATTTAAAATAATYCTCCCTTGTTTATTTACAGCATTTTTTACATTTTGCATGACTGTTCTTTTTAGCATGTATTGTTGATTTCTGTTGAAATGTCAACATATGAACTTCACTTGAACTTACTCTACAATTTAACTTAGGCCCCATTTAAATGGAGATAGKGCCACCTACTAGGGAGGCCAGCTTTTTGTAGTGTGCATAGTGGGAGGACTGTGTTGGCAGTGTTGTTTTAACAACTTAAAAGTTGTTTATTTTCAAGGAATAGACCACAGCACAATAAAGACAAGTATTGACAAGGAAACTACTGAATTTGCCATCAAAAGAGAATGCTTTAGCTTCTTATATGGTTATTTACAAAGCTCGGTGATCATTCATGATGCCTAGCCCTGGKTAAAGTTTACATAYGGTATTGTGTTTTGATTCTTTGGGGAGGGTGACCCTCCTAGTAGGAWGATCAACATGTTTTAACAGAGCCTTAAAGATGATATAACATATAAGTCTTTAAAATGTCTTAAGAGCCTTACATGTATTTGTAGGCTACYAGTTTTCATTTTTTTGTTAAAAGTAATCTCAATCCTTGAAGCATGAATAATACAAGAGAAGTGTATATTTCCTGTTTTATTTTAAAATCAACATTAAGTGAATAAATGATTTTTTTGTTAATATTCAATCATTTCATGACAACAATTCCAAAGTCTTGCTGAATATACATGGTTGCGGTTTGCAAAATAATACACAAGAAAAATACATTGTTATTTTTACTATATGATGATAAAAAGTCAACCAGAATTTGTCTAAAAATCGGTTCTGCATAAGTTATAACTTATGCGAAAGGCATGTTGTTTCTTTGACTAAAATCTGGTGAGATAGTAGGTCCACCTTATGGAAAAAACAACGCTTCTTACAACTTTACACGATTTTCATCTCAAGCATTTGAGAATGAACTTTTTTTGTAAGGTTTTTTTTTTCGATCGGAGGAGGAAAACCTACCTCAAAACGCAGAAAACTAGAAAGAATT